GTTCTGTTCTGTTCTGTTCTGTTCTGTTCTGTTCTGTTCTGTTCTGTTCTATTCTATTCTACCCAAGACAATGTACATAGTGCTTCCTCCTCCTGTTTTCCCCCATGGAGTAGGTTGGATTGAGAGAAAGTGACTGGTCCAAAGTCCCCCAGAAAGCAGGAAGCCCCCAAAACCTGAGTCTCCCCAATCCAAATCCAACAATAAGCCTGTGAGGTAGGCTGGGTTGAGAAAGAGTGACTGGCCCAAAGTCACCCAGTGAGCTTGTATGGCTGAGTGGGGACTCTAATGTGGGACTCCCTGTTCCTACTTCAGTACCTGACCCATCACTGCACCATACCAGTTCTCAGATAATTAGGTGTGGCCATGTACAAGATCTGAAGAGTTAACACCAGTAAGTGAAACTGGTGACTTCCATGAATCCCAGTCCCATAGGGATTGGTGATAAACAAGGAGGGCTAATTCAGGGACAATGCAGAAGATGGCAGACTATGCTGTTCTGGTCCTGTACCAGGGGACAGAGAGAGAGATCATGTAATCCACCCAATGGACTATTGTGCTAATCCAAACCTGAAACAATAATGATATCCCAAATGTTGATCACCTCTAGAGCTGAAAGTGTTGTATGAATATTTTTCTTTCTTTCTTTCTTAAGGGACTTTTTCCGCCCGGGCAAGGAGCCACAATTGGGGTTGACTTTATGATTAAGACAGTGGAGATAAACGGTGAGAAAATAAAGGTAAGCCCTCGCTTGATGAGCCCTCCGTTTATGTTCCAAATTTGTGTGCTGCAACTCATGACAACTTCAGGAAACGTGTTATGCTTCCCATGTGGAACTTAGTCTCATTTTTGCAGAACCTGGTTGCCACACGTACGCACATGTACCTCGAACCTGGGATCTAGTTGACATCAGTTATAAGAAAGCATTCTGTATCACGTGAGTTCACATTGTTCAATTATATGAGCCTTTTCTGTTACTCTTAAGAGTCCCCTGGACTGCTAGGAGGTCAAACCAGTCAATCTTAAAGGAAATCAACCCTGACTGCTCATTGGA